TATATTAGTTGGCCAATTATTATATATTAATATATTATTATATATTATTTTTCTATTTATAGTAGAGACGGGGGGGTGGGGCGGTTGTCTCGCTCTTGCTCAGGCTGGTTTCAGAACTCCTGACCTCAAGCAATCTGCCCGCCTCGGCCTTCCAGAGTGTTAGGATTACAGGCATGAGCCACTGAGCCTGGCCTACCTCCCTTCTCTTAACTACAGAGCATTACCCTCCCCTGTTTCTTAGTCCCTCAGCATGAGCCAATCTGGGTGATGATTTCATGAGAATCCTCCATAGCAGTGAATCCTAATGACTTCACCCTTTATCCTTTTTCCTTCCTTCTCCTGTATGATGTGCATTTTAACAGTGGCTTCCTGGAGTCATAGTGCCTTAGTCCAGAGGTGAAACTTCCATGGTGGAAAATATGGGCATCGGTGACAAGCTGGTAGAAATCCTGTCTAACATTTATAGCTTCCCTCCAATCACAGCACTTAGTAGGGCAGGCCAATTTTTACTACTACTTTGCAATTTACAAAACATAGGTTGGAAGCAGTTTCTTGTTAAAGCCCTACAGAACCCTGTGAAGTAGACGATGTAGACTTTATCACCACTTTGCAGATGAGGAAGCAGGTGTCCCCAGAGATGGAGCAAATCAGTCAGAACACCCAATGGAGGAAGTGGTGTTAAATCTGCCTCTAGAGTTACCAGCGCGGGTCACGGGGCCAGTGGGTGATGCACGGGAATGCAGTCTATAGTGGGAGCAGCTTCGCAGCGAGGTGCCATGGTTGTCTTTCCCGAGACATAAAAGGAAGGGTATAACTAACATTTTCTGAGCAACTACTATGTACTTCTCCCTGGATGTGGGCTTTAACGCTCGTTCTCTCATTTGACTTCCTGTAGTAATCTTATACACGAGGAAAGCGAAGCTCAGAGAGGTCAAGAAACTTCCCCAAGGTCACACAGTGGGAAAGTAACAGAGTTGGCTGAATCTGTGCAACTCCAAAGCCTTTGCTTTTCCACCGTACCATGGGGCACGTGTCCCAGAGTACTACGGCAGGCGGCAGAGTTAGATTCCGACCCACATGACTTTATTTGTATTTTCACTGGGTTTTTGTTATCTCAGGATGTTCAAAGATTTACACTCTCTCTTCTCCTGGAGTTAAGTACACACTTTCAAACTGACCTTTCAATCTGGGCTCTTCTCCGTTCCTCCCAGCCAGCTCAGACAAAGGGAGAAAAATGAGCTGTCATTCTTTCTGGGAGTCAATGGCTGCTTTCCTACGAATACCTTAAAAAAATCAATCTTTTGTAAATTAAACTCCTTCATCAGCTATTAGCTGGATTCTAAATCATTGATAAGAGGGAGAACTCCCCAATGCAGTGATCAACAACTGAAAAGTTTATCAACCCAAATAAAATAAAAGTGGTAACATTTGGGACAATACTCAGCAGTTACTCACCCTGAGAGAAGGTCTTGCTTTCAGCTTGGGAAATGCCTGATATTCTCATGATTAAGATAAGTGACATTTCTTCTAACTTCATTTGTCATAATAAAAGGCAACACAATAGGATTTCTTGTATGTAAAGCACACCGTGTTAGATGCTAGAGATTCAACAAAGTAGTAGGTTAAGTCCCAGATTTCTCAAGATCATGCACATTTAAAATGTTCACTTCTGTGGTGCTCACTGACTCACTAGTATTTGTTGCAAATTTTATTCTGACTTAGGTTTGGAGATTCTGGTTATCATAGGCTTTCTTTTCCTTATGGGTGTCCTTAAGGCCTTGGCAATGATCTTAGGGTGACTGAGCATGCATAATATGCACCAGGCAGTTCCATTCAGTGCTGCAAACATTTAGGGAATGATGGCTAGCTGTTCATGTGCCTGGAGCTAAAGTTAGAGAGGAAAAACCCACATTATTGCTGCTCTTTGCTTACTGCCCTGTGGAGGGCTAACAGGTAAAGAAATGATCACTGAGCTTCCAAGCAAAGATGGAAGACTGAGTACATAGATGTGTCTCCTCTGTCTGTTGATTCTTTCTTTCTTTTTTTTTTTTTCCAGATAGAGTCTCACTCTGTTGCCTGGGCTAGAGTGCTGTGGCGTCAGCCTAGCTTATAGCAACCTCAAATTCCTGGGCTCAAGCGATCCTCCTGCCTCAGCCTCCCGAGTAGCTGGGACTACAGGCATGTGCCACCACGCCCGGCTAATTTTATATATATATATATTAAGTTGTCCAGCTAATTTCTTTCTATTTTTTAGTAGAGACGGGGTCTCGCTCTTGCTCAGGCTGGTCTCAAACTCCTGAGCTCCAACGATCCGCCCGCCTTGGCCTTCGCCTCCCAGAGTGCTAGGATTACAGGCGTGAGCCACCACGCCCGGCCCAAGATTCTTTAATAATAGTAAAATTCCCCCCAAAAGTATAATATCTCTACGATGAAGAGAATGAGAAATTTCAACAAATTTCTGGAAGATGGAGATTATGTGGGATAGTGGTACCTATTCCACAGGTAGAGGAAAGGAGGGGCTCCACCTAAGGAGGAAACTTAAAAATGTTACACCAAGTTAAAATTAAACTTAGGAGGCATTGGGGCTGAAGGCATCGGGCACGATGAAGGGTGGAGAGGATGCAGGGCTGCAAACAGAGGAATTACTGGACCTATATACAGAATCGCCGAGCTCTCCCTTGCTCCCCACACTAAACACTAGTATCCAGGAAGGCATTCCCTCCCTCACCTCAGGCAAACAATTAACAAAAACTGAGGATTATCTTTAAGGAAATTAAACGAACTGCATGGCACATCAATTTGGGAAGTTCAACATCTGAGAGGAATCCTACAAACACAAACGCAGATAAAACTGAGGAAAGAAAATTGTTAAAGAAATAATAGAAGCAAATTCCTTGAGCCAAAGAGCAAAGTTCCCCCACTGAAAGAGCCACCACATTCCTGTCATAATGAACGCGAACTGACTCAGACCTTGACGGATCATCGTGAAACTCAAAACTCAAGGATGAAGCTCCTAAAAGCTTCCAAAGAGAAAACAAACAAAAATGGCTTGTCCACAAAGAAACAAGAAACAACCTAGCACCAGGCTCAGAGGCAATATTGGATATGGGCAATCCAGGGAGAAATGTTTTTGAGATTCTGAGGAAAAAAGAATTGTAACCTAAAGTTCTATATCTAGACAGACGAATAGTCAAATGCGAGTGTAGAATTATTTTTAGACATGTGAGGAATAGGAAATGTTCTCTCCCATTTAATCTCTCTTCCTTTTTCTCAGGAAATTGCTGGAGACACTACTGGATCCAAATGGAAGACTAAGCTAAGAGAAAGGGATGGGAACCAGGCTGTGGCTGGCGGGCACAGCCCAGGACAGTGGCCACGTCCACTCCCCAGGCCTGGAGTCCGGCTCAGGAGACTGGACCGGAACAAGCCTGTTGAGGGGAAAAGTTGCAATTGTATAATATGATTGAGAATTCATTGATTTTTTTTTTTAGCTTCATTTCTAATAGATTAGTGGTTTAGCTGAATCCCAGAAGTTAGTTTTGATATGTAGCATTTTTGTCTAGTTAAACTGTATCCTAATTTACATTGTGATTTCTTCATTAGGTATTTATAGGGTATATTTCTTAATTTCTAAACATGTGAGGCTTCTGGTAATCTCTTTGTTATTGATTTCTGGCTTAATTGCATTGTGGGTAAAGATACTCGGTTTGATTTCTATTCTTTGAAATTTGTTGAGACTTGCTTTACGGTGCAGCATATGGTTAATTTTTTTAAAGTGCTCTGTGTGTGCTTAGATAGAATGTGTAATTTGCCGTTGCTGGGTGCAGTGTTCTAAATATGTCAATTAGGAGAGGTTTGTTACATGTGTTATTCGAGTTTTCTACGTCCTTACTGATTTTTGCCTGCTTGTTTTATCAATTTCTGAGAAAGGTGTATTTAAATCTCCCACTGTCTTTATGGATTTGTTTATTCTCTTAGTAGTTCAGTCAGATTTTGCTTCATTTATCCCGAGACTAAATTATTAAGTACATAAAAATTTTAAAGTGTTATGTCTTTCTGGTAAATTAAGCCTTTTATCATAATGAAGCATCCTCTTAATCTCTTCGTAATGTTTTTGCCTTCAGCTTTATGAAAGATTCACCAACTTTTTTCTAGTTGACGTTTGTATGGTACATTTTTTTTTTTCTGTTATTTTACTGTCAGCTTCTCTGTTTCCTTGTTCTACCTGAATCTCCCGTAAAGAGCACATGGTTGTGCTTTGTTTTTATATCCAGGTGGTTGATCTTTTCTTTCAATCAAAGCATTGTGTCTACTTACATTTAATATAATCATTGATTAATTTGGGTTTCCATCTCTTCTCTTACCCAGTGCCTTTTTTTTCTTCTCTTCTTTTAGATTGATTTTTAAAATTTGTTTCCCTCCTCTATTATTGATCACCTAAGAAATGACAACTTTGACTCATCGTGGTTCACTATTCATTGATACTTTTACCGTCTTCCAAGAAAACACAAAGATCTAAGTTACTTAAACTCCAGTTATCCCCTTCTGACTTATGTGCCATTGTTGTGGTCATTTTAGTGTATGTATATTTTAAACTCTGTAAGACATATTTATCATTGGTTTTAATAGCCAATTTGTGAAATCAAAACTCAAAGACGAAACTCCTAAAAGCTTCCCAAGAGAAAACAAACAAAAATAGACTGTCCGCAAAGAAACTAGAAGCGGCCTGGCACCCGACTCAGAAGCAGCAGCATTGGTTATTGGTAATCTATGGTGATCTTCGATATTCTGAGCGAAAAAGAATTTTAACCTAAAGTTCTATACATAGACAGACAAATAATCAACTGTGAGAGTAGAATTATTTTTAGACATGTGCAAACTACAAATGTGTAGTTTGCATTTGCTGGGTGCAGTGTTTTCAATATGTCAATTTGGAGAGGTTTGTTACACGTGTTATGTGTAATACAACATGTGTATAATATGATACACACAGTTTCCCCTTTCATTCCTCTTCATTTATTGTACATCTTTGACATTTCATCTGGGGTAATTTTCCTTCTACTTGAAACCACTCACTTTAAGGTTTTCTTTAATACAGTTCTGCTTGTGACAAACTCTCTTGGTTTTGTTGGTCTGAAAACGTCTTTATTCTGGACTTCTTTTTTGTTTTTGGCCTCCAGTGAGGATTTTCATTTGCTTCTTGCAGGCACCTGGGGGTCTGAGCCATCGGGGCTTGAGAAGATTGGAAGTTGAGCTGGTGTCTACACGGGCCGGGACACCATGGGCTCATCCTCACGGCGTTTCAGATTTCTAAACAAGAACAGGAGGAGTTTATTAGACCCTCCCCATCAAATTTTGCCCCTCTACTGCCTAGAGGATTGCAAAAACTCTGAAATTAGCAAATATCCCCCAAGGGAAACGATGTTGGTCTCACTTCTCCATGGTTCCAATCTTCTAGATATGGGCTTGGGGATTCCTCACTACCCTGTCAGCTCTTCAGTATTTTCAGATGCCTTCTTCCCTCCCTTGTCCCTCGTGTCCTTTGTTTCTCCTCTTCTTTCCTGCCTCCCCTCCTTCCTTCCTTCCTTCCTTCCTCCCTCCCTCCCTCCCTCCCTCCCTCCCTTTTTCCCTTCCTTCCTTCCTTCCTTCCTTCCTTCTCTGCTCCTTCTCTCCATTTCTTCCTTCTTTATAGAGAAAGATTGGTCCCTGGAACAGAGAAGTCCAGGCACTGAAAACCATTTACAACGGAAAGCAGATATTAGTGGCTTTGTTATGCAGAACACAGCAAAGTCCTGATGCTGACACAATGGGACTTCTTTCATTTTCTTTCAGAACATTGTCATGCATCTGTCCATCCTTCCTATGAACATAAAGAAAACAAAGAAAAGATTAAATCTTTTATTTAAAACTGATTTCATTTAAATCTGCGGCCCCCAACCCGTGGGCCATGGGCCTCACATCACCACCTCCCCCACCCACGACACCCCCTTGGCCCCGGGTTTGTGGAAAAATTGTCTCCCATGAAACTGCTGCCAAAAGGGTTGGGGATTTCTGACTTAAATAATTTTATGATGGGTCTTTTCAAAATATAGAATCGGAGTTATGGGATGACAAATGTATACGTAGCCATGGACAAACACACTATGTCTTTCTCCTGGTCAGAGGGACTGATTCTGTTGGCCACACTTCAAGGCCACAGAGGAAGGGCAAGTTTCAAATTTCAGCCTTGACATTTTCTGGATCTATGACCTTGGGCAAGTGTCATGCATGACACCCCACGCCCCGACCTGACACATTGTCTAACAGGTAGTAGATGTTCAATAAATGTCGAACTGGGCATCTCATTTCTGTGCCTGAAAAATGTGGATAAGTGCTACTGTGAGGATAAATTAAATGAGGTGACACAGGTGACAAGGCTTTGCAAATGGCAAAGGCCATACAGATTGGACAGGATTGACCTAAGACTTGAATCCATATCTGTCACGACAACTCCGAGATGATTTCCTCATCCATAAATTGGCTATGAGATTCATGGTTAACATGAAGCTGGCTTTTCTGGTTTTTGTTTTTCTTTTTAGGGCGTTAATCTTGGTGAGGTTCATGATATTTTTTGACGACAGGATACTGAAGGAGATAGGGTACTCTTTAGAGTCAAAGGAGAGGAATGGAAAACAAATCATCTCCACCAGCCGTGTTAGTGAGGACTAATGAAAAACAAAGGCTGTCTTTTATTCAATGATCATATTTTCTCCCTGAGCCTAACCTAATTGCATTATTGAATGTTCTGGAGCCCTCCTCACTTATTTAACTATTATGATCCTTTACTTATGGGTTTCCAGATATCATTATGGTCTCCTCCACCTAATGAAATGAGAGGCTTTAACTGAGTTAGCCCATCAACAGTGCCTGATGAAGCCTGACAGATCTCTTTGTGGATTACAGAGACTTGATAACAGCAATGCCAGGGCCGCTTTCCTTCTCCATACCCACTTTTCCTGAGCTGGATGAGGGATAATGTTGTAAACCAGTGGATCAGGGGGACTCGGACACCAGAATCCAATCAAACCAAATTAGTTTACTGATACCTGCGCAGGGGCTGTCACCACTCCATGCAAGGAGGGAGAAGCAGCAGCGAACAAAGCCTTTGCAGTTTTCTTATACCTTAGGGGCTGGCAGCTATGCAAGCGAGCAATCACAGAAGCAGAACTTTGCGGTTAGTCATTAATCAAGCGAATAATGGAAAGGTACAGTGAGGGCCAAGGGACTTTTCTTGGAACAGGACCTCTCTATTCTTTTTGGGAACAGGCCTCCTCGACTCCCTTCTCCCTCCTCTGGGAACTTCCTATGGGAACTTTTACTAACAGTTACAGCAAGACTGACTCCATTTTAGATTTACAGGAGCCATCTTTAGTCTATGTACTTCAATAAGAAACCATATATGATATCCTGAGAATCAGAATGTAGTGCCACCTATGGGTCTGCCGCCTAGAGACCCATAGGGGATCTAACACTCCGGGGAAAGTCCTTGTGTGGACTGAACAATGGGGATCAGCCTTCTGAGTGGGGGTGTAGAGGTCTGACCTGGAGATAGGCAGGAGGGAGGAGGCTGCGCAGCCCCTTGTCGGAGTTCCCCTAGGACATGTATGCAGGTGGCTGCCATACTATGCAGTTGGTGGGGATGGAAGCCCCTTTTGTGAAGGGAAGGTCCCTGGGTGAAGCGGCCCCAATCAGAGTCAGGTTCCTAATCTGGTGCTAAAGCTGAAAGGTTTCTCAGTCCATTAGAGGGCAAACTGGGTGTCTGGCCTGGGTGGGGGATGATGGTGTCGTTGCGGCAACGTGTACAGCTAGCCTTACAGCTCTTGACTGGGGAAAGAACCCAGCTGCACAGGAAGAGTTGGAGAACAGCCTTTATTTTTCTGGCAGACTCAACCCACCAAGTGTTGTGGCTCTCTTGCTGTGTTCCGATCTTCTCACCTCCCTTCCTTGGGCTCCTCCTGCTTTTATACCCTTGGTAGGGCTCAAAAAGCGTCCAATCAACTACAAGCTTTAACATCCAATCAACATCAAGCTTTACCATCCAATCAACAACAAGCTTTACCATCCAATCAACAACAAGCTTTAACATCCAATCAAAAACAGCGGGATTCAAAAATTACCCAATCAGGATCACACAAGCAGCCTGGGGGAAACAGGCGGTCACACGTGGGGCCCAGGTGGCTCTCTGCCTTCGGCTGGCCCCAGCAGCACAGCGCTGGCTCACGGAGATGTGGAGTGACAGGGAGGCGGCAAGCGGCCTCTTTCCGGCGCCCGACATTTTCCGGGTCAGTGTCACGGATGGATTTTGGGGGTGGATGCAGCAGAAGTGGGGGTTGGGGCTGGAGCACCCTGGCAGGAGGTGCTGTCAAGGTGCTGGAGGGTGGCGGGAGGGATTGTTGAGTCTACCGTCTGGCCTTCTTCCAAAATTCACTCCGTTTCCACAGATGCCGATGCCTTTCAGTGTTTCACAGAAACAATAAGAACCTGCACTCCAGCTGTCGGTGATCCCGATGAAGTGTCCTTCATCTCTGCTGAATCAATATGGTCATTCTTTAACAGAATAATGACTTATTTTTATTGAGCACATCCTATCTTCCAGACATTCTGCTAAAGGTTTTATGTGCTTGATTATGTTTTGTTTTGTTTTGAAACCGGGTCTTGCTCTGTTGCCCAGGCTAGAGAGCAGTGATGTCATCATAGTTCACAGCAACCTCAAACTCCTGGGCTCAGGGGATCCTCCTGCCTCAGCCTCTGGAGTAGCTGGGACTACAGGTGCGTGCCACCACACTTGGCTAATTTTTTACTATTTTTTTTTTTTTAAATATGGGGTCTCACTATGTTGATCAGGCTGGTCACAAATTCCTGGGCTCAAGCGATCCTATTGCCTCTGCGTCCCAAAGTGCCAGGCAGGATGACGGGCGTGGGCCACCGTGCCTGGCTTGTGTTTTATATTTATTACAATCTTTTTGAGTTAATTACTATTCACAGATAAGGAAACAGGCTCAGAATGGTTGAGTAACTGGCCCACTGTCACATGTCTCATCTCCACTCGATACAAGGAAAAAGCCCATTATTCATTTACACTTTCCGTGGATTTTCCCTAGACACTTACTGTGTGCAAGACAGAAATTATTAGGAGCTCACCGCCCTGTTTCTTTCAGACTTAGCTTCATTTCTTTCTAATTTGTTCAGCTAGCCTAAAGGCTCCAAGACATATAGTTAGTAACATTATTTCGAAAGCCTCCAGAGGAGGAAGTTGCATAGGGTTTTCTTGGTAACTTAAGTTTCCCAGAACGTTCGGAGATTTCTTGAGGCTATCTATCGTAAGACCCTCTTGCTACCACTGAAGCCAACTCCTGCTGCTAAGCGCACAACACCCAGAGCCAGAGGGCAGTCACTGAGAACACCCGTCCTAGAAGGAAGGGAGGTGTTGGTGGTGACGGGTTGGAACTACACGGTCAAAGAATATTGGAGCTAACTGAAAGCTTAAAAGCCAAAGACTCTAACTCCCTCACTTTCCAGGACAGAAAACGAACCAAAGGAGAATGAACCATTTCCCCACATCACTGAGCTATTTCCCGGCAGAGCTAGAACTCTGGTCTTGGGCTGCTTATTTTCAGGGAAACAGAGCACTGTGATAGAAATAGCTGGAGCTTTGAAGGCAGGCGGGTCAGGATTCAAACTCTGTTCTGCATTTCCTAGCTGTGGGACTAGGCAGGCTTTGCAATCTTATATATATAGGGTGCCTTGGTTTTCCCATCTGTAAAATGGGCCTAATAAATGGGATACTATATGTGAGTCCCTGAGGCATAGTACGTACGGATGCAGTTAATATTATTCCTTTCCCTACCCAGGACCCAGTCTTTTTATTGATTGTATTAGTTAATGTAAACACAGTGGCTTAAACATCAATATCATTTATTACTTCTAACAGCCGCTTTGGTCAAGAATTGGGGATGGCTTGGTTGGGTGGTTCTGGCTTGGAAGTCTCTTATGAGGTTGTGGTCAGATGTCAGCGGTGGCTTGACTGAGGCTGGAACAGTCAACTGGAAGGTGCCTCACTCTAAAGACTGGCAAATAGGTGCTGGCTGTTGGCGGGGGTCTCAATTCCTGGCCACAAGGGCCTCTCCACAGGGCTACTTGAGTGACCTCACAGCATGGCGTCTGCATCCCCTAGAGTGAGTGATCCAAGATACCAACGTGGAATGTGCGATGCCATTTGTGATCTACCCTTGAAATTCACACACGTGTGCCATATTCTATCGGCCACACGGGGCCAGCGGGATTCACAGGGAGAGGAGACCACACAGGCACAAATGGATGAGGATCACTGAGGGGCTGACTGGCACACTTTCCCGGGGATGAGGGGTCTATTCCTGGTTTCACAACTGTGCCAGGTTGCCTGGTCCCCTCTTAACTTCCTGTGTCTTAACTGTTGTGCTGGTATTTGTCAACAATCACCCTTAGATTCGTAAGGAAGACAGGGGCTGTACCCCTGGTCGCGTCTTCTGGCATTCCGAGAGCACTGTTTATAATTAGCCAAGCAATAATTCCCACCGCCGAGCTAACTCCAAGGCTCATCTGCTTGCTTCTCTGGAGGTTTTTAAATAGACAGAGATGTGTTAATGACACAGTACATTATCTGTCTGTTACCATTTTGGCAGGCAACGTAGAAACGTGACTTTTTTAAGGAGGAGTTAATCAGTGTTAAGGCAGCTCCCGTGGCATGGGCATGCGGTAGTGCCAAAGACTGCCTTGCAAGGCGGGGGCTGCAGAACACCCCGGGCCTGACGTCACGCCCTTTGGTGGCTACTGGGCATGACCTGGGAGCAGAGATGGATGGGACTGACCTGGGACATTGCTGGAGCTACCAGTGCCCTGGCCCAGCTGGGCTCAGCACTACTGACATCTTCCCACTTCCTCTTCACTTGGAAAGCGTTGAGTCTGTTCCCAAACTCAGCAGCATTCCCAAGGAGGAAGCCTGTGAAGTGTGATCCTTGCTTATTTGCTGATGACTCTCAAATCTGTACGTCTACTCCACCCCCCCAGCTCTATTTCCCCAGCTCCAGACTACTCACTGCTCATTTTCATTTGGACGTCCCCACAAGCATGTTGAAAACTGAACTCATAATTGTCTTCTCACCCAAATTCCTAAATCCTCCTATGTTTTCTACTTCAGTAAATGGCCCATTGCCCAAGCCAGAAACCTAAATGGTATGACATCATGATGAAGAAGGAAGGATGAGAGGGTTGGAGCTCCAGTGCTGGTGGTCTTCAGGAGTTTGCTCCGCTTACTGTCTCAGTTTCTTCTTCTGTAAAAGCGGAGCTAATAATAGAAACAATCTATGAAGCTGGTTAGGAGAATTAAATAGGAAAGAGCTCAGTAAATGCTCTAAGAATCATTAGGCTCTTTGGATTCTACCCCTTGTATATTTCCTGAATTCATCCACTCCTTTGCGTTCACCACCCCAGCCAGGGTCACCATCCTCACTCAGCTGCCCACGTGCTACCTCATGGGGATCTCTGCGGCCAGAGACAGATTATTTTTTTGAGAAAGAGTCTTGCTCTGTCACCTGGGCCATGGCATCAGCCTAGCTCATAGCAACCTAAAACTCCTTGGCTTTCCGGGATGTATCCTGTGACACCCCCAGCCCTGCCCTTTGCCTGGCTCTCAGTCCTGCTCGTGCTTCAATCTGAGTTCAACACCATCCGTTTGGGAAACTGGCTCAGACCTGCTGGACTTGGCCCCCTCACCTCCTTCCTCAGCCAATAAGGCTTTGTTAAAATGACTCTTCATCCCACAGAGCAGGCTCACCTCCGTATCCTTGGTGTCTACGCAGTGCCTGGTGCTTAGCAACTATGTGTCGAATGAATATATGAATGAGTTGCTACAACTTTTAAAGTCTATATCTGTATGCTACTAATATCCAGAGGGCCACCAAGGCTGCCTCTTGCTGATATTTTACTCTTATTTCAGAAGTTGGTACATAAATCAAATTCTTAGCTTGCATATGTTTGACACTTCCCTGAAAAAAACGAAAAGACATCCATGAATTCCTATTGTCACCCAACAAATATTTATCGAGCATTTCATATGTACCAGGAGATATTGGAGATGTAAAGTCAAATATGACAGAGTCCTAGGCTTCCTGTTGTCACAGAGTTTTCAGTCAGGAATTAAATGTGGTATTGAGTAAACATTTGTTGAATGAATGGATCAATGATGAAAAAGAGTATTTAACCTTAAAAAATGCAAAGCTTTTTAATTTTATAATTGTTTAGAGACAACTGCTATTGTACAGTTGGAAACATATCTTCATATTCATTCATTCATTTATTCATTCAAATTATAGTTATTGAGCATCTGTTATGTTTTGAGTATATGAATATCTACTGGTTTTTGGATGGGAGCCATTAACCCCGCCCAACTGTGCAAAAATATTATGGGCCCTTCAAGACCAAAAGAAATGTCAACACAAAAGAGCTATTTGCAATGCAAATGCGAAGTCACCAGTCTTTGCAATAAACAGGCTGAGGAAATAAACCCTGAGAGCTTCTTGGGAGAAGATCAGGTTTAGTAGTTATGATGCCTTACAAAGGCAGTGGAAATCTGCGAACTCCTAATTTGTTTATTTTCCATATCTAACATCAACAGCGTCAGTCTCTACTTGGGCAGGTCTGGCCCGACCATGGGGCCCGTGTGTAAACCAACCAATTTCTGCCTATGTGTCAGTGATTTTAAAGCTTTGATGGGATACATTCCCTTTGGAGAATCTTCTGAAAGCAATGAACCCTCTCCCCAGGAAACTGTAGGCTCTGGGTGCCTCAAGTGCTGGAATCTCTGTGTGCATCACTGTTAATCACAGCTCTTCTCTCCCCAGGAACCTGCCACAGTTTCCTCAAGGGGCTGAGCTAGAAGCTACTGTGAGTGATTCTCCATTCACCCCGACTCCATCTCCCATAGTTTCCTTCCTCAGTGCTGCTCCTTTGGGAGCGTTGGGTGCATCTCTCCCAGTTCCTTGGTGGAGGAGGAGTGTCTTTGAATGATGTGCTTAGATGTCGGCCCACCCTACTTGGTCATTGTCTCAAACAAATCAACCAAATCCTGTCTGGCCCACCCTTCCTCCTGGACAGATCCCGCAGATGTGCCAGGAAGGGGTCAGAGGCACACCGTTTATTAAAAACTCTGATCGCTCTGTGCCTCATTTGTGTCTGAGCCCTCTTGATGTTTTCTGTCCCTGAAATCCCTAGGAATTTTCCAGCCTCACTCTTAAATGCATGGTAGCTTTGGTGACATGCTGCTCTTGGCAGACACTCTGATACCTCACTCCAGGCAGGAGAACCTCAGGCCAGGGCTGGTGACAAGAGCTGCTACCAGCTGGAGCTGCCAGGGTCAAGGCCTGTGGACACGCCCACCCAGACTACGCCAGCCCTAGGCGTTCGCAGTTCACCATTTCAGCTTCCCAGAGTTTGACAAAAGCCCAGCTTTTACACTACAGGCGTTGCATGAAACTGGCTGTTTGAAATATATTAGCAGCTGCTGTCATATCCAGCTGGCAGGGAGCCAGGGAAGGAAATTAAACTTTGCATTTCCCCAGCACTCCCCACCGACTGTTAACCAATCGATC